TTAGCAGAGCTCCCCTCATCTAAACAAATTGAAGTTGTGTGCTCTACTCGCAGTGAGAATCACTATACCTATAAACTACTTTATCCACCATGTCCATGTCTCTTTAAAATGTAGAAACCATAAATGTATTTGGCTCATGCCATTGCAAGCCTATCAGGGCATACTTTTCACACATAACTCAGCCCCAATTAGCATGACAAGCATTAGTACCTTCACAAGATATGTAAAAGATCATAACTACAACTAATGCAGCTATTGGCAGTTGAAGCTCAATCAAGTCCGGAGATATCAAAGGAAACACAACCTACAAAGAGGGAAACGAAAGAGGGCAAATCCCTAAAAAAAATGTTTTATCTTGTCTGATTCCTTATCTCCATAAGTCTTTGTTCTCTCTTGGCCTCATTAAATGACACCAACAATTTAGAATGACTTCTTATAAACCAAATTAGGGTTTCGAACCTACCTCGGTTGAAGGCGAACAGATTAACACGACGGATGGTGTAACTTAGAGTCAAAGGCAAGATGACCTTTGCATCAATCCTCTTCTTTTACACGATTAATCGAAAGAATGAAGCTAGTAGAAACGTTCTGTACCATCAAATCTACGATCTACAGCAATCCTCCAAAAGCGCATCAAAAATCAAAATGGAATTTTGATCAACGCCGAACCAGCAACTAGCAAAAGAAGCAACTTGTACGAGAGGAAGACAAAAATCACGAATCAAACGAGCAAGAAACCTTAATTACCAGAACAAAGAATGAGGGTTTCCACGAGAACCGGAACCTAAGAAGCGAAGGAAGGATCGAAGGAGAGACCAGGGACCTGTTCTTCCTGGAGAGGAGCTTGTTCTCGTTGATCTTTCGTCCGCCGCTCTCGGTGGTGTTGCTGGCCCCCTCCTTCCACTTGTCCGGAACGATCACCTTGGCCAGCTTCTTCTCGCCTGCAAAGAGAGCGATCGGACGACGAATACAACATCATCAGCTCAAAATTAAGAAAAAAAGGAAAGATCAGAACTTTGGGGCTTTGTAGAGAGAAGGGAAAGGAGAGCGAGGAAGAAGAGAGAGCACCGTACACTTCTCACACACCATGGTCACTATTCACCGATGGCAGAAAGGGACGGCCGAGGAGAACTCCGAGATAAAACGTTGTGTAGTGTACCGCCAGAGATGTAGAGAGATCCATTCCACGAATCTTAAAGTGGAAAACACCATGCGGTCTTCTGAGTCCGAGCATTTCACGAATCTTGAAGTGAAAACCCAAGTTGCGTGATTTGGGTGCTCGTATCGGTGCAATGATCGATCGGGCACTTCGAGTCGATATGTTCGCAAATCTTAAAGCGACAATCTTGTGCTCGATGTGCAGTGGTGCATTATTCATTTAATTAAACCTTTTCAAGTGATTCGATGCTTTCTTTGGAGTGATTTGATGTTTTCCACATGCTTATTTCGATGCATGCTTATTAAGACCAAACAGTGCGCATGAACAACAAAATCCAAATTAATGATGTTGAAATAGCCCAATAGTTCTGTAAGGATGCAAATGATCAATCACCATGGCATTCTCACCGATGAAGTTGGAACATTTCTAGACATGATCGGTTTTGAACTTGATTTGCTTTGCTGGCTCAGAGACATTATTACTTACTAAACAATATACTTGTCTTGACAGCATCTACAGCAGCAATATAAGTTCTAACAAAAGCTCCATGCTAAATTGCTTAATCAGATAGAATAATAGACAGCTAGAGGCTACAGAAGTTACAAAGAGGCACTGCTCAAGCCCATACAGCAACGTGCATGAGATTTCATGGAGAGATGATATTGAAGTCTGCCTTAACAAAGGAAAACATTCTTGGCTTGGTGGCCAAGAATGTGTTTTATCAAATAAACATTCTAAGTTTTCTGTTTAAGGACGTGCCGCAGCTGAATCTTTTGGCTCCCCATCCTTGCCTCCAGTAGCTTCGCCTTTAGCCCGTGCTTCTGATCGCTTCGTGGCCATTCGATGCACCCCTTCGTTCCGCGAGGAATGTGAGAATTCAGTAAGTCGGGAGAGTTTAAGTGTCCTATGCTTCTTGGGCTCAAACCAGCTTCAACCAACCCCATGTCAGGAGATAGATTTCCATTGGAGATCCTTCCATCTGGTCTTCCATTTGTATACTCAGCTGAAAGCTTCTTGTACTCTTCACAATTATTTGAAGCCAGGGGGGTTCCAGTGGATATCCTTCCATTTGACAGCGACCTTTTCTTAAGGTCTTCAACATTATCATGTGCTGATGATCTCCAAAGCCTACATATTGAAGACACCTTCTTTCTTGATTTTGCATTTGTAGTAGAAACCTCTATGATTTCATTGTTTAGTTTGTTGTTACCATTCTCCTTCAACTCCGTTTCGCTTACTGAAGCATAGCTTTGTTTACAGTAATCATTGACAGATGGTTCGCTCCCATCATGTGAATTGCTTGAGCCTTGTTCCTCGGCTTGACTAACTGTTTCCCAGTCGCTTTCATCTTCATCATCATTGCTATCTATCATCTCATGTGCATGCTGCTTTGTTGGATGTTCTAGAAAGACATCTGTCCCAGGACTCGCTGTGTTAACCTTGGAGGCATGGCTTCTAGGGCTATAAACACAGCAAGGTTTGATGTCTCTCGCATTAGTTTCTTGTCTTGGCTGGAGTTCTTCAATGACGGCATAAATGTCTTCTGAAGCAAGTGGTGGCTGGTAAGAGAACTCTTGTATCACTTCAATATTTACCAAGTCTGCTTTTCCTTTAAGTAACTCAGCCTCTTTCATTGATGCAAAGTCCGAATCTTTAGTCATTCTTGCAGCCAAAAATGCTTCTAACTCTGCTTTTAGGTCCCTCAGCTCTGAATATTTCTCCTCAAGAGTAAGCTTTGCATCAATTAATTTCATCTGAACCCTTTCTTCACGCCATACCTCGGCCATCTGCAACATCTTCTTCTCGTCTTCAGCTTCTTCTTGTATCTTCATCACTTCCATCTTCAGAGATTCAATTTCAGCCTTGTCCTCGCCAATCTCCTTCGCAAGCTCATCACAAACCTCTTCAACAAGTTCACGAGCTTTGCGTTCTTTCTCATAGTCCTGCAAGAGCTGCTTTGCAGTTAATTTGGCCTCAGCAAGCTCACTGACCAGCTTACCATGGATGATCTCCGTTCTTTGCCGCTTTTTCCTCTCTTTGCCAAGGTCGGCCTTCATTGCCTCAATTATAGCTCTAAATTTCTCATGCTCCCTGCTCCGCCACGATTCTTTCTCCTCAGCAAGCCTGTTCAAGAATTGGTCCAGCTTTTTCTTTGCCAATTTACGTTCTCTCTCAAGCTCACTGATGCGGGCACGAGCCCTTTCAAGCTCAGTCCGTAGAGAAGAAACAGTCGAAACTGTGTTCAGTTCCTGGTCTTCAAGAAGCTTCAGGTGACGGTAGAATCGGTAGACCTCCTCCGTGGTCATTGAGCTCCCAGGGTCCCATTTAGTTGCCTTCTCCATTGCAGAACTCTGAAATCCAACAGACCGTTCCAGATGAGTAGCATCAATCAAAGTGACACAGAATACTGGTGAAAAAGAAAAGGGCAAAACGTCAACGAATTTATAAGAATAATGGATTACCTTGTGGAAATCACCATACTTGGGACTTAAGACAGACACAGGACTGGCATGCCCATTCTTCCTATTCTTATTAACATGGAGGTCGGTGCTAAGGGGATTATAAAACAACTGAACTTCTTGATACCCAGGAACAAGCTGCAAAGTAGAAAGGAGGGATGCAAGTCAATGAACAATAACATTCAAACATCCCAAGTGCAAGATAGCATCTTCAGAAAGGACGGCAAGTATCATAACTTGAAGACCTGTACAACAACTAGTAATCACAAGTATGGGTGTTGGGACCAAGCCTGCGTCTCATGCCATTGATCAGGTGAGAGCAACTAGTGACCAAATAGATCAGGAATTTGGAATGAAGCTGACTATATTACAGATGGATCTAGTCCTACTAATTGCTTGAGTTCCTGTAATGATGAAAATAGCAAGGTATCAAGAACATGTTGGTAAAAGAAAGATGTATAGTTCTTTTAGAGGACAATTTATCCATGTTTGCAACCGAATCATCGACTATCAAGAATCGAAGGAAAAAAGGGTTCTATTTGTTCTTTTGAAGGGATTTCGAAGATATTTTAATGGTCTCATCTTGGAAGGTTTTGAACAATCTGAACAAGAACAGCTCCAAGTCCAGCACAGAGTGTGCCGCCAAAATGTGAGCTTCTGACAAGAATCAACCAAATTTCTAATAGAGAAAAAGAAACCCTAGAAACAAAACTTCGAAGGGATGGCAATCTTGGTGTTATCGTACCTCAGGACCTAGAGGAACCCGCCGTCTTTCCCCTCCGCCGCCGCGGCCGCCTCCATCAGCTCCCAGAGGCCGCAGGTGCCAGATCCCAGCCGCGAGCTTCCTCGCGGAGATGCGGGTCGGTGGTGGCGGAACGCCGGGGCCGACGTCCTGGACCTTACGGCCGGGTTCCGACGGGGGTTTCTCGCTGAACTTCCAGCGAAGCAGGGGGGTGGCGGGGCCGCTCCTCCTCCCGCCGGAAGCAGCGCCGCATCTTCTCGGGCGGGCCCCGGCAGCAGCGCGGGGCAATGCGGGGCTCCGTACACGGCGGCGCAGTTGGGGCTTCAGCGACGGTTGTAGATCGGAGTCCAGTGGCGGCGCCAGGGCTCTGGAGAAGAGGATTCCCGGGAGGCGATTGGCGGCGGAGGAGGAGGCCGGCATCGCCTCAAGAACGTTATTCCCACAGCATCAAAAAGAGAGAGAGAGAGAGAGAGTGTGTGTGTGTGTGTGTGTGTGTGCGTGAGATCGGGCAACAGCGAAAGCGACATGGGAAGCATTGCTGGCAACGTTTACCAACTATCCGAAATTACGAAATTACCCAAATGATGAATAAAAGAAAAGGAAATTTGTATCGAGAAATCTTTTAAATGAATTTGGAATCAAATATTATTTATTCATTTATTCGTAATAAATATCATGACATATATTTTTGTAAAATAAGACAATTACACACATAAACGGCCATTACAGTCCTTATAATTTTAAATGATCGGATACAGACACATGCCATGAGAAATCTTTTGAAAGATATTTATCGCCGAACCATATCCGAATAACTTTGTTTATTTAAGTATTCATTTAAATACTCATATGATTGACTGCTCTGTTCACTGGACACGCATTCACATGCTGTCTTCGTGATCTTTCCATTAATATACATACGTATCTCTCGGCCCGTGCAGCGTATACGTTCCACGATCGAAGGCCACTTTTACGTTTCCTCATCCTGGTCGGTCGTACGCGTCGGATTCCAAATGGCCTAATTTGCTGTATGGTGATGTGCGTGACTCAGAAAGCGGCGTCGACGAGCGGGAAGGAATCCGAGGGAGAGAGATTGGGAAAGGATCTCGGGAGGCGAGATCTCGTCTCGCCACGTCATCTCGGGCCATTTAGCTACGCGACACGGCGGGGCATGCAGTGTCCTCCGGGCCCCACGATGATTGGTGGGTCAACGGCCACGCGGGCGGTCGGTCGGTCGGTCGGAATGAGGATAAATAAATCGAAGCAAAAATTTTCTTTTGACAAAAGTAATTAAATTTAAAATGTAGACACAATCGTTGTAACTCAAACATACATATATACTGAAGTTGACTAAAAAGAATAATTTCTAATTTGCAATAATAACCATTAAAAAGTGATTGCTTTCTTATTATGATGATAATACTATTTATATATTAGTGGTTGTTTAACTTCAATTTTTTGAATTTAGAGAAACTATGATAGAAATCATAGAACCTGCTGCTTCTATTGATGGGAGCTCCATATTCTCACTCTCATACGAGTCTCTCGATAGAATATTTTTGTAGGGGGTTTGGAGAATCTGAACATATCGACTACTTTATAAAAAATGAAGAGATCATGAATTCTCCAACAAAGTGTCAACTGATGCGCTTTATATATAATTAACAATTCTAGGAATATATAGCTGAGACGAGAAATCTGAAGGGAAGCTAACAAAAGTTTGATATCAACAATGATCCCACAGAAGGACCAAAGAGTTCTTGAAGAGCCACTGACAGTGTGTGTTAGTGCTCGGGAGTCAGTTTGGAGCCACAGGTGCT